CGCTTCGCGCCCGGGGCCTCGCCCAAAAAAGCGCAGGACTAATGAAGAGATGGCCAAGGCCGTGTGTTTGAGTTTGGTTTGCTATGGGACGCGACTTATAAGCAGAACTTCCTTGTGTTTGAGTTTGGTTTGCTATGGGACGCGACTTGCAAGCAGAACTTCCTTGTGTTTGAGTTTGGTTTGCTATGGGACGCGACTTATAAGCAGAACTTCCTTGTGTTTGAGTTTGGTTTGCTATGGGACGCGACTTGCAAGCAGAACTTCCTTGTGTTTGTTTGAGTTTCCATGTAAGCAACTATGGACAACTAAACCATTCATCCTTGGCCTGTTTTGCAGTCCTGTCAGTATTCCCAATTCTGCACCTGCAGCCTCATTTTACAGCAGAACACCCAATTCTAATCCTCCAACTGTGTTCCCAATCCTATGGCAGCGAGCTCATCCTAAGCTTGCGAAAGCCTGCAATCCCCGTCCTGTCGACCAGGGTCCCATCCCCATCCCTGGCCAGGGCTCCCAATCCCCTCCTTGGTCAAGGTTGCAATCCCCATCCCTCAGACAGGGATCCCATCCCCATCCTCACCCCCGACAGCAATCCCCATCCCAAAAGTAGTGTAGCACGCCTAATCCCTAATCCTCCCCTTGGGCCCCACATCCCATCCTGACGTCGTCAACCCTATTCCCCATCCCGCCTGACCAGTACCTGCCCCCAATCCCCCATCTCTGCAACCCTCTGGAGCACAAATGAGCACAAACAACTTTGGCTGCCTTAAGTGACCGAGGCCAAAGTCACATCAACGCCTCTTGGGCTAAATTTAATCTCAAAAGGCGCCGCGTATCTCATAATGGAATTCTGAGATGACAGCGTATGATAACTGTAACTCCCAGGCCTTGAGTGTGTAACGGACAAAACATAATATTTCACCTGGCTGAAACGCGCCATCGGTACTATTTATCATTCTCTATTGAAAGTATTTCGCCTGTAGCCAACAAAGATCGTATGAGCACAGAACACTTTGGCTGCCTCAATGGACCGAGCTCAAAGTCACATCAACCACAGGCCTCACGCAGAGGGTTGCAGAGATGGGGGATTGGGGGCAGGTACTGGTCAGGCGGGATGGGGAATAGGGTTGACGACGTCAGGATGGGATGTGGGGCCCAAGGGGAGGATTAGGGATTAGGCGTGCTACACTACTTTTGGGATGGGGATTGCTGTCGGGGGTGAGGATGGGGATGGGATCCCTGCCTGAGGGATGGGGATTGCAACCTTGACCAAGGAGGGGATTGGGAGCCCTGGGCAAGGATGGGGATGGGACCCTGGTCGACAGGATGGCGATTGCAGGCTTTCGCAAGTTTAGGATGAGCTCGCTGCCATAGGATAGGGAACATAGTTGGAGGATTAGGATTGGGTGTTCTGCTGTAAAATGAGGCTGGAGGTGCAGAATTGGGAATACTGACAGGACTGCAAAACAGGCCAAGGATAAATGGTTTAGTTGTCCATAGTTGCTTGCATGGTGTGCTGTCACTTGTGGTGCATCTTACAGCGTCTGGTGAAAGTGGTGGTCGAAGCCAGTACCAAACATGCACGTTGTCGTGGTCGATTTTGCTCATACACTTGGTAAACCAAACACCGAGAGATATCTTCACAAAGCAAGGCCCAACAGCACCATAATCAGCTGTCCAGGTATAGCCCATGCCCATGTTCACCAGCACCACAACGGGCCTCCCATTACCCACTTGACACACATGAGCACATCTCACCAAAAGCGGCCCCGGCAGGCTGCACCACTGCTGTCTGCCAAAGGCATGGCCATCATCAGTGCATGCACCAACATCAGCCATCTCACTAGGCCGTCATGCATTCAATTGTTTGACCTCTGCTTATTAGTCACGTCCCATAGCAAACCAAACATAAACACAAGGAAGTTGGCAGCACCGAATCTAGGCTGGGGAGTCTAACATCAGAGTCGTCCATGCATTTTTGCTTCACACCAAATGGCTGGCACTCATTGCAAACAACACAACAAACCCTCGCTCCCTCCCATATGGGGGGGGACAGTGCCCACGAGTCATGCCTGGCACGCTCCCAATGCGACTAAACAAGGTGGCAAACCTTTCAACGGCAGGGCCCATATAGGCAATGACACTGCCGTGTGGATTCTGCGCACGGGCTCCCCATTGAAGCTCATCACTAGTGCCCACCTGCCGGACAAACGAAAGGCGCTCCTGGAGAAAGCACACTGGCCAGTTCAGCATATCGTTGAACCAGCTGTAGCCTATACCTGCCTTCAATAGCACCACGGCCTGCCTCACATTCCCCGCCTGATACTCCCAGAACAAATCTCGCAAAAAATAGGCCTTGAAGGCTGTGTCCTTTCTGTACACCAAACGCAGGTTGAGAATCACATTTCATCGCCAGGCATTGCCCTCTGCCAGTCCATCCGTCGCCTCATCGTAAAAGGAAGTGGCATGCACCTGCGTGTTTGCAGCGGCACAAGAACACGGATCCAGGTCGATGCAGCCTGGCGCAAAAAGCTCGTGCACCAGGTCCAAGATGAAATCTGGCGTGTACCATTTCCATGTATTGCTTTGCATGAACAGACGGAGGCCGCCATATTGCAGCGGCAGTGCAACAGGTGCTGCCAATGCATGCTCTCGATGTGGGTCGTGGACGTCACCCGGCCCGTGCATTTCGACTCGTCAACCATTGCAGGATATCCTATTATAATTACATGGGCATGAGACAGGCATGGAAAGCGACTTAATGTAAATGAGGAGAGAAGTGAACCATGGGTGCACCCGGCCAGTTCCACAGTCAGAAAAACATTCTTACCTTGTCCGGCCCACGCACATCCACGGCACCAACGTATGCGCCAACATATGCCTTAACAGAGGAGATAATGAAGGATCGTCGAGCTGTTTCACAAACAGCTGTTCACTGATGACCGGCCCTATTTGCCTACAAAACCATGCTAACAGATTTCCAAAATACTTCATCAACAAGCAAATCGCCTCTTGCTAGCAAAAGGTAAATAGGGCCAGTCATTCGTGAACAGTCCTTCCTAGTTTGCGCTAAACAATGGGAGCACATATCCCCATATACAGACCCATAGGCGCCTACCCCCCGTACAAACGCTGACGGGCCCGTTATGGCTTGAGCCGCTAATGGGCCTGTCCAGTTTACGGGCCGTAAGGGGGGCTGTAATGGGGGGCCCCATAATGGGGGCCCCCGTTACAGGGCATATACATGGGCTATAGGGATCCCCACCGCCGGCTGTCCTAGGGTACAAAATACATAGCAATTACCCGCAAAGGGTAAGCCGATGGGTTTCATCACCTTTGGGCTCCCTTCGGTGGAGTCCCCAGTGAGGAAACCGAAGGGAGTCCCCATTGGGACATCCACTTTAGCGCTATGTCAGCAAAAGCGGTGCATTCATCCAATATTTGGTGCCACAATGTGGCATTGGAAATCTTGTAGCATTAAAGTTGTAGCCGACTGCAGTTAGCTGATAGATCGTTCCCGCTTAGAGCTACCTTTACATGATAAACTGGTAAGCCCCTCGGCCGCCTGATATTCTGTAGATGTTGCTATATTGTAGTATGCTACGGCATCCTCGCAACAAATACATTGTTCTAAGCAGGGGGTGGTAGGCCGGGCCTGCCCTTTATGGCTTTTATTATTGCTGCTCGACGCGGCGTGAACCCAAGTGGCGTAAGCCTGGCCCAAAAGGGGGAGTATTTTGCAAATACTTCAAAGGGTTAGGGAAGTATGACAAGACTTCTAAGCCGGTGAACTGTAGTTGAAGGAGAATATACGTTGGGGTCTGCGTGCGCGGTGTCGGCTGTCGGTGAAGGCTGGTCCGCCAGAGACATATCACGCGAGAGAATACATGGAACAATGCTTTATAGTCGTGGTCAGTCATGTTATTATCGCGCTTGTTTTAAGTCCTGCACGGCGGGAGGGATCCATTTTGCAGTCAACAGGGGTCACGCGGCTAGTGTCCAAGAATCTAAATAATACGTTTTCTTTGTCGCTATCAAAATGCAAGTTGTCCTTGCAATAATACGTGCATCTGGATAGTGACCAAGAAAGCTTATTCTTTGGGTGAATACGCCGTATAAAACGTAATACGCCTGGCGTTCGAGCGACGCAATGATACGACATACGCCCGGCATAAAAATTTTGGATCCCAAGTTACACCGCACCCCTGGTCGTAGCCTATCATTGGCAATAACGCAAGTTAAGCATCCTGCGTACCGGACAGTCCCTGTGTAATTTCCGTAGCAATCCGAGTATGCCTTGAAGATCACAACTGCAATCCTGAAAGAGCGTTGAATGGCTGCACAGGCCCGAGTGTATTTAGCGTTTCTGAAGAATTGTTTTGTGTTCGCCAATAGGCCTTTCCTCTCTGCGCAGTTTTCTTCCAGGTGTTCTTAACATTTCTAACAGGTCTACTTGCCCATGCAGCCTGAAGAGAGGTAATGATCAAACCGAAAGGGATATTACATTTCTCCATTCCTAATACCAAAAACGACCCTTGCTTTATTTTCCCTGATTTCCAATGCCATAAGCAGAGGCAAAATCAACCTCGAATGTGTCTGGAGACATGAAAATACACTGCACCCGCATAAACCAACTCCAATCAGTGACTCCCACAGTTGAAACTCTTAGATCAAGAAAGCAAGGAAAAACTCAATGGGGTACAACCATTGGAATGTCCAATCCCTGAGGACTAGTGCTCGAGTCTCTATTGCAGGCCTACGCCATACGTCTCGCCAAGCTTATATGGCTGCGAAGTACTCCTTGGAGCCCTTTGGATCAGGCTTCATGGTCTTGTCGCCAGGCTTCCAGCCGGCAGGGCATACCTCGTCCGGGTTCGACTGAACGTACTGAATTGCCTGCAACACGCGCTTCGTCTCGTCCACGCTCCGGCCAAAAGCTAAGTTGTTAACCGTTGCATGCTGGACAACACCTTCCTTGTCAATAATGAAAAGCCCGCGCAGAGCAATGCCGTCGTCAGTCAGGACTCCGAAAGCCTTGGAGATCTCCTTCTTCAAATCAGCCACCAAGGGATAGGCCAGGTCGCCAAGGCCACCCTCCTTGCGATCAGTTTGGATCCAAGCAAGATGCGTGAAATGAGAATCTACGGAAACGCCAAGGATCTCCGTATTTATACCCTTGAATTCATTGCAGCGATCGGAGAAAGCCGTTATCTCTGTTGGACAAACGAAAGTGAAATCCAGCGGATAGAAGAACAGCACCACATATTTGCCACGATACTGTGACAGCGAAACCTCAACAAACTCCTGGTCGAAGACCGCCTGCGCCCTGAAATCCGGCGCAAGGGAGCCGACAAGAGGCTTCTCAAGTGCCTGAACACGAATTGAAGGATTCCTACGCAAACTCGATGGGCTAACCAAGTTCACAGTATGGCGTGTGTGCCTGGAAAAGGCCGCGAGTGATTTACGCGAGAGCACGGACAACGCCATTGTGATGCTTATATGGAAAACATGCAAAATTGGAAAAGCTTTTATTAGACTTTATACCAAATTAGCCTTATGGTAGGCATTTCACGTCCTGCTGTACGGAAAAGGCATGAGAACCACCGGGCCCTGGATCCTGAGCACCGTCCAGTAAAATTGAATAACTAAAATGAGCACATTGAAGCATTCAAGTATATGAAAAGATATAATATGTAGTATGTTTGGATCTTTAAAACGTGGAGAACTTAGTGCCAATTCGTTTTCACTTGGGCCCTCGAGTTTTGTCCGTATTAATCGTTAAAATACTTGCAACTCTCACGAAATTAGGGATTGTAAAGTTTACATTGCAGATCCCGCAGCTGAGCTGACATCCAGGCAAATGAATACTACAGGCAGACCGGTTGTTTCTTTTTACGGCTGATTGAAAACAAGTTGCGGGTGCGGCGTGCACTCCTGCGTACGGCTAGCCACTTGCAACCTTGTTAGTCGCAAGTCGCTACTCGCAAGGAACTCGCAAAATTTCTCCTCTCGCCATCTTTATATATTCACGCCGTTAGGGCGTAAGCACTGCGCATTTGTGGCGCCTGCGTCTGCCGGCTATGGCCGATAGCAAGCGCAAATATCAGTAACATATGTAAAGGGGTAAGCAATCCATGCGTCCATAACAACAACATGAATGATCAGCTTGGCGCACGAAACAGGCAAAGGGTGCTGAAGGAAAGCATTGGTGTACGTCCACCGCTGGGTGCCTTGGGTGTTCTAGAGAGGAATTTAGTGTGCCAGGTACCACGCGTCACAGGTACCACGACACGGGTCAGACCTCCGCCTCATATTCACATTCTTCTTGCCTTAATTTGTACTAGAGAGTTCAAAGTTCATTTGGTTTTCGTTCCTTGCTTCAGGGTCATGGTTCAACAGATGCCTTGTTGTTACAAGGTCGTGGGTGCGTTCCCCGTACCTGCAAACCACCCTTATATGAGCCGAAGGCTCAAGGGCTGCCAAATCGCCTATAAGCACCATCCTACCTCGCACATCAAACGAAACAAGTGATGAAGGATACTAACGACCAAAGGGAACGATAGAGTTGCGTTGGGACCATATACGTTCCAGCATCCTTGCCAGGCGTTCAGGTTCCCACTTCATACCGTCCTTCATGTGCTTGAAGCGTGGGAAATCCATATCAGATCTGATTTTGTCGTACACCGGACAGTCCAGCAAAATGTGCTTCTCATCCTCGATATGGCTACCAGTGCTGCAGCAAGGGCATACTCGCTCCTCCCTAGGTATATAACGCCGTCCCTTACGCGCTCTGTTAGCCGCCAATGCCCAACAGCAAAGCCTAAACTGCATAAGCTTGCGATTCGCTGAACGCGGGATAAACATTGTGATATGCGGGAGCACCTCCTTCCTGCCCGCTTGTTCGGCCGCCAGACCCATCTAATGCTTATACTTCGCCATGTGAATTCCTGGTTGCTTGCCGTCTGAAGGGTACATGTCTGGCTGGACATCTAAACGCGTATGCTTCCAACCACTCACTAATCGGTCCTTGAACTCCAAAATCACACCACCTGGCATTGGCCTGATCATCAGCCACTCCACTCGTTCGTCTACCTCATGTAGCCCTTGCGGGGCCTCTTTCCATACGTCGTGCCCCAAAAAAACATAGAAAACGGAGGAGTAGTGTCCCCCATCCGGCCCCTTCGGGGTTGGAGAGGGATCCTGCGACCTCCTGTCGCAAAACTTGGTGTGCCACAGACCCACGCTGTAAACGGACATGGTTCCAAAACCTCACAACCTGCTTGAGAACGTGGTAGTGTAGGGGTAGCTGCGATAGCTCTGCGAACAGGAGGCGGTGTGTTGGTCTGGCAGCTCCTACAATTTGCCGCATGAAAGATATCTGAAGCTGCACTGCTCTGTCCTTTAGGCATGCCTCGAAGGGCCCCTCTGCAAGGTTATTCGCATCACTCCGCTTCCTGAGCCTGTCCGAGACCTCAGCTAGCATAAACGGCCCCCATGCTTGACAACCATACAACAGTATTGCTTGTACCTGCGTATCGAAAGACTTGATCCTCACATCTGGGGCGAACAACTTCAGCTTATCTAATTTTGCACTCAACGCGAACATAGCTGCTCTAGCTGTGTCATACAACTGCTGACAGCGGGCCCAGAACTGCTGTTCCGGCCCATACACTAACCCCAGATATCGTGCACTATCATTAGCCGGTATGGCCTCTCCAGCCTGCCTGAGCTCATCACACGATGCTTATAATCATCACACTCATAATTCTGGTAGTCCCTCAGTCCTTCAAAACCCATGACCTCGCATACGGCCTGCGACTGCTCTAAATCCGAGATGTCGTTCACGTAAGCAGGTAGGTCCATCGGGGTAGCACGGTTCCGCTCATGCTGTGCTCCAGACAGATGTGCGTTAAGGTCCCCGGCTATCAGTACGTCCTCATCGCCAAGCCTGAGTTCCGTTAGCGACTGTGGGATCCTGGTCAAAACGGCTTCTGCTGCTGCAGTGCGCTGTGATACGGTGCCTCCACCATCCGGGTAGACCCTGGACGTCTCTGGTGCGAGGTAGCAGGCTCCCATCAGGAGACTGCTACCTGTAGAAAGGCTAACGCGTGCCCAAATGACCTCGCACCCTGGCAGCTGGTTGTCCTTGCGCACTACCGTAATACCCCTCGTGAGTGACTCCCATACATACAGCGCGACGCTTCCATAATCGGCCCTCAGGGCTTCCTTTGACCTCTCCACCCGGAAAATACGGAACCCTTCCAAAGCTGTGTCTTTCTCCTCAGTACTGTCTTTCAAATGCGCCTCAGCTATAACAACAATATCATGACTCGTGACGAACGACCTAATTCCTGTCTGGTTGAGCTTGAAAACTCCCGCCTCCAATAGCCCATGAACATTCCACGGTAAAATCCGTAGCCCTCGGCTCGCGTGCCCCTAGGTGTCATCCATTTCGTCAGCGTTAGGGAGGTTTGCGAAGCGGTTTGCCCTGTTACCCGCCAGTTGGTCACGTGCCCTGTCGTCCCTTCCCCCACTGCCGCTTCCTCCTTGGCCCACCTGCCCGTTTCGTGTACTTCCCGCCACGAGTCGGAACCCTTCCGCATCGACGCCCCGGCTATCCGGCCCTTGTACTCGTGGATCGCGTCCGGCTGGCGGTCTGTAGCTCGCTCGCTCCAGAGTGCCTGGTGAAGCCGTGTACGTGAGTCCAATGGTGCCCTCGGTTCGCAGCTGTTTCGGGGGTTTTGCCTTCACAGCGCTGAGTGTGGTCTCGGGTGGTATCTTGCTTTTGTTGTTCCCAATGAGCGCCAGCTCATGCCCGGGCGGGATTGGTTCGGGAGGTGGTGGAGGAGGGGCTCTGGCGGTCGGGTTAGCCCCTACTGAGGGCGCTATCGCTGCCGGCCCTGCCCTTCAGGCCACGGATGGGGATAGCGATGCCCGCACACCACGCGCCCACAAGGTGGTCGCTGGTGCAATAGCTGCCGTTGGGTTTGCTGCCCCTGCGACGGCCGGAGCTGCAGACCCTGCGGCCGCCATCTTGGAGCCCCGTACACACCCCTTCCCGGCTGCTGCAGTCGTAGCTGCTGCTGCCACTCCCGAGGTGCCACCTCCGGGGCCCCTGCTGCCGCTGGCCCCTCCTTCTCCACCTCCTGCGTTGCCACCGACATATTCACTGCCGTCAGCTCCCTGCTCGGCAGCTGCAGTCCCTTCTCAATCGCTGTCACCTCCGTCGGCACCGTACTCCGCGCTGCCCAGGTCGCTGTCGGTATCATTCCGGGTCCCATACGGCTGCGCTTTTCCGCCTGGTCGCTCCTTTATGTATATGTAGATGCCTTGTGACATGACTAGCAACAGAAGTTGTCCAAATTGTTTTCCATGACAAATGGCAAACATATAACATATAATGTTATGCCATTTCCGTTCCATTGCGGTGTTGCCTCCTTAACTTTGATACATGGCTGCCGTCGGGGTCAGATGGCACACACTCAATTCCGAAAAGTACGCATCTCACTCGCGAAATATTAATACTTTTATGTGCAAGCTTCTATTTGGAACAATTTGCGACGGTTGGCGTTGACATCTCGGAGGGGTCTCAGGGTGGTCTCACCCCTTTCCATAACAGTATTTGCTGATGGTCCTTCTGGTGCGGTTCCAGGGACTTTTGCAAATTGGGGAGCTAATGGCAAACTCCCTAGTGGGTTCTGAGCCTTCCCTTGGATTTGCTCTTGGCTGTCTAGGTGAATTGCGTTGCCTGGTCTGGGTGGGAGTCTTGCTTGCCCTCATCCTATCAGGTGCAGTGCATGGCCGCTCTCTGTGCGTCTGGAGCCCACTGTAACACTGCCCCGAGGCATCCCTGGCCCCGACGGTAAACTAAATGGTGCTAGCCTAGTCCGTGCCCAACCCCCCATCGCGTGCCCGCCCCCCATCACCCTGCAACAGAGAATCGGGTGAAGGGCCTTGCGCCTTAATAGGGAGGGGTAGGGTATGTGCAGGGTTTTCGGGTTTCCTCAGTCTTAGTGAACCCCAAGAGCCGGATCAGGCCGGGGATGGAGAGTAGTCTTGTTGTGTGTGTATGTGTGTTACATGGCTGGGGGTGCGTGACCCCATACCTGTAAAACTACCCATACGAGCCGGACGCCCAAGGGCACAACGCCTAAAAGCCACGGAGAACAGGAAACACCGTACATCAGCCCAGACTAGCGTCCAAAAGGGGTAACTGAGTCCACATACGTTCCAACATCCTCGCCAGACGTACTGGTTCCCATTTCATGGCCTCCAACATGCTCTGTTGATGATCGAATCCCTCTTCAGCACTAATATCATTATAGGCTGGGCATTCCAATAACACGTGTTTTTCATCTGCATTAGCTTACGATGTGCTAAACGAGGAATGAAAACCTTAGCATGTGTTGGCCACATAACGGCTGCAGCTGCCGAAAAGGGCAGCCCCATCCAGTTCCTCCTTCGCCATTTGCACTCCTGGTTGCTTCCCATCTGATGGGTACTCCTCTGGCAAGACAGTCAGACGCGTATGGTCCCAGCCGCTCATCAAACGCTCTCTTAGTGCCGTTATCATCGCTCCTTCGGGTAGAGGCCTACTCAACAACCAGTCAACACGCTCCTTTACCCCCATGACTTCTTGCGGTATTCCACTCCAAATATTGCACTCCAAGAAGGAAAACAGTCGTAACATTGAGATTCCCCAACCCTCCCACTCCGGGTTGGTCAGGGCATCAGTTATCTCCTGCCGTAAAACTGCATGAGCAATGGACCCCACTTGTTTTTGAAGGCTATCTTGTTGTGTGTTTCAGGCTCAGTGCACAAACTCGCGTGACAGAGCCTCTTGACTCGTGAGAGAGTACGCCCGTGTGACGCCTCCCACCCCCGGGGGAGGAGAGCTGAATTAGCATGCGACGCCTCCCACCCCCGCGGGAGGAGAGCTGAATTAGCATGCGACGCCTCCCACCCCCGGGGGAGGAGAGCGGAACTAGCATGCGACGCCTCCCACCCCCGGGGGACGACAACGGAACTAGCATGCGACGCCTCCCACCCCCGGGGGACGACAACGGAACTAGCATGCGACGCCTCCCACCCCCGGGGGACGACAACGGAACTATCGGACCTGCGGCTCTCGGCTGTTTAGGTGGGGACAGAGGCCCCTTACACCCCTCTCCTGTCTGCGGGAGAGAGCTTAGGTGGTCTTTCCATTGGGGCTGGGCAGTAGTCCCTGGGCAGTCTCAGGCCTGGTCAGATACTTGTGTGTGCGTTACATGGTCGTGGGTGCGTTCCCCCTACCTGCAAACCGCCCCAATACGAGCCGAGGGCTCAAGGGCTGCCAGATCGCCTATAAGCACCATCCTACCTCGCACTTCCAACGAAACAAGTGATGAAGGATACTAACGACCAAAGGGAACGATAGAGTTGCGGTGGGACCATATACGTTCCAGCATCCTTGCCAGGCGTTCAGGTTCCCACTTCATGGGAAATCCGTATCAGATCTGATTTTGTCGTACACCGGACAGTCCAGCAAAACGTCCTGCTCATCTTCAATAAGGCTATCAGTGCCGCAACAGGGACATACTCGCTCCACCGAAGGTATATAACGCCGTCCCTTGTGCGCTCCGTTCACCGCCAATGCCCAGCAGCCTAAACTGCATAAGCTTGCGATTCGCTGTATGCGGGATAAACATTGTGATATGCGGGAGGAGCGCTCCTAGCCCGCGGTATCAAGTTGACCAGTATCGTGAAGGCATTTGCCACCTTTTCTGTTTCACACAGCACGCCCGCGGCGACACCTGGCCCAGACGAGGCCCCTCACGCGCTCGGAAATTCGGAATTTGACCCCATGAATTCCCAAGCAAATCCGGGTCAAATCCCATCGGGATTTGAGGATTTGAACCCCAAAACAATAAGCAATATAATGGTCATGCAAAGATTTCCTCGGGCCTGGAATTTGACGCATTTGAGAATTTGAACCCCCCAAAACAATTATCATGGCCATGCAAACAATTCCATGAGCAGCCGTTACAATATATTGCATATCTTCGAGCGGCATGTTATGCTCGTGCCAGTCAGTCCTCGCGCCGCATGCCTTCAAACATTTAGTTATTCCTCCAAAGCCGGCGCTCACCGCAAAGAGCGATGTCAGACAGCGGCGACGGACGGGCTAACAAACACCGAAAGGCTCAACCAGGTACCCTTGATGAACTGAATCGGCACGTGCAACAGTTAGGCAAGAAAACGAATACAAACTGTACTTTTTCTTCATATGGGATAACCATCTCACTCGCAAGGGTCGCTTTACCCGGTTGGTGATCGTACGAGTGCCCCACCTATCGTTCTGCAAGTTGTTCCACACGTGCTAAAACTAGCATACGGGAACCAGGGCGCCACAGGGTGTCGTCGGGGCAGAGAGAAACCCACGGGTCGGCAACGAATATACAGTTCGAATGCATGCACATGCACACACGCAGCTGCAGCTGCGTGTGCACAAAATCTCACTTGCGCCCCACAGGGTGGTGTGGCTCAAAACAACTTACACCACCACAAGTGGGAGAAGACAAAACACATGCATTCCTACCCACAAAAATGCGCGTTCCTCCACAATAGCTTTTGTGTAAAAGATGTTAAAAAGAGTCCCCCACGGCACCTCTCTCCAGCCCTCCACAGCTGGACGACTCTGCACCCTCTGTCCTATAAAAAGAGTCTAAACGTACCCCACATCCTATACCACATTGCATGCATCCGACATGTATCATGTTTTGGACGTATTGCAAATGCATCCCCCTTAACCCCGGCGTCGTCGAGACATTCTGACACATTCGGATATTGTGTCCTCCAAATGAATCAGGGCGGCGTGTGGTGGCGTCACGTGGCATGTTTGAAAAAACAACTGACCCCCAGAGGCTGTGTGGTGAAGGCTGTGGGGTGAGACGAAACAACACAGCAAGAGCGCCTCACCCATGTGTTGTGCACAACACCCCAACAATCAAAAACCCCGCACACGATACAACACCTGCCACTGCCCATCCGGGACTCTGGGGATGTCTCTCCAGAAGTTAAATAAATCACAGGCTTGATGGCGGGTTTTAGCGTGCCGCGCGTTTGTGTGCCTCTGCAGGTTGTGTGTGTGTGACTCTCCTATGAATGTCCAGTTAAACGAATGGGGAAGCCACCGGTTAAATACGTCAGGGACCCTGGGGGATTCGTGTGGGCGCGAATGATGCATATGCTAATAACACTGAAGCCTCCGGCCCCATAGAGCCGTGTGGCTGTTTTGTCCTCCGGGGTGTGAAAGAAGGGAGAAATGCGTGGCGCACCATCCCTCCCTCCCTCCAACCCCCACCCTCCACAATACCTTTTCTCACTCTTATTCCGCCCTCCCAAAGTCATCCTCCCTTCCCCTCCCTTCTGCCCTCCCTTCTGCCCTTCAGTGCCTTGTCCTCTGCTGTCTCCTGCTCTCCCTTGCCCTTCCCTCCGTCCTTTGTGTTTGTTGGTGTGTGTGCCCTCTGCCTGTGTGCTCATGTGTTCACGGACGTATGTGTGTATGTTGTGTATGTAACATGGGTCATAACATTTGGGGACACCTGGGAATTGAACCCAGACCCACAAGGAGGTGGGTGGCACCTCTGCCGTGTTCCGATTCCCGCCCCACCCCGCGCCTGCACTGCCCTGAACCGCCCTGCCCAGCGCAGCACAGCCCTCCACTGCGCCGCCCAGCGCAGCGCCACCCTCTCCTGCGCCGCCCAACGCAGCGCCGCCCTCCTCTGCGCCGCCCAGCGCAGCGCCGCCCTCCCCAGGGCGGCGTTGGGCAGGGGGGTCGCAGGGGAGGGCCGCGTTGGGCTGGGGGGCCGCAGAGGAGGGCGGCGTTTGGATGGGGGGGCGCAGGGGAGGGCGGCGTTGGGCTAGGGCGGGTGCAGGGGAGGGCGAAGCTGGGCTAGGGGGCCGCAGGGGAGGGCGGCGTTGGGCGAGGGGGGCGAAGGGGAGGGCGGCGTTGGGCAGGGGGGGCGCAGGGGAGGGCGGCGTTGGGCTGAGGGGTCGCAGGGGAGGGCGGCGTTTGGATGGGGGGCCGCAGGGGAGGGCGGCGTTGGGCTAGGGCGGGTGCAGGGGAGGGCGGCGTTGGGCAGGGGGGTCGCAGGGGAGGGCCGCATTGGGCTGGGGGGGCGCAGGGGAGGGCGGCGTTTGGATGGGGGGTCGCAGGGGAGGGCCGCGTTGGGCTAGGGGGCTGCAGGGGAGGGCGAAGCTGGGCTAGGGGGCCGCAGGGGAGGGCGGCGTTGGGCGAGGG